CCCTTTCATTTTTGGTTTTGACAAGTCTCATCCCATGGGTGCTTTTAACTCTCCATCCCGCACCTCGCATAACAGTATTCCATGTGTCACGCAATATGTGACAAATGAACCAGAAATGAAATTCTCCTCAAACTCCTTTACTTAAACAGTCTAAATCAGAAGCTGCAATTTTTAAATTAGATTTATGTGGGTAAATTATATGATCTCAACTTTAACTATAATCACACATATATCTAGAAATATTAAACTAAAAGTACTAACATCATTTTTTTAGAAGTTTCAGGATATGTTTCAATACTGTCATGACTATCAAGAGGAATATCTATACCAGGAATACTTCTGAACCATCGCTACTCACGGTCAATTTCAGGAACCTAATAGTTGGCAAGAAGCACTGGACTTGTATAGGCAACTTTAGCTATAGCAATCTGAGTTAGCCTGATTGACCCTTGATCCGACCAAGCCTACCAGTATTTGTCTTTACATGTCACTTTATACTCGTTTGACATTCCAATCATGCACTACCTAAAGAATTATGCGCTAAAGACATAAATTGTAGAACTTTTAGGTAAAAACCATTCCACTATTTGTTGAGCGCAAGACAGAATACAGCATAAATGTAGCATTTAGTTTATAGTTGTTATGGTTGTAACCAACTATTCCCTTATAGTTTTTAATATTTTTTATTGCTAGCACTAATTTGAAATAATTTAATCAACTGCCATAGCTTTATACAGCAGCATAACAAAAATATTTATTAATCTAGTTTAGAAAAACTAATTTTTACATGTCCTTCCACAGGATGCACGCCCATTTTTCTATAGTCGACTTTTAATTTTTACACATTTAAGAAAAAGTAAAGAAATGCACCCCAATGCAGTTGAAAAGAAGAGACAGCCGATTACGATACAAATGGTGGAACAGAGAATTAACTCTGAGGGTAAAACCCACTGGGCGTAAGCCCTAGTCAAGGGAATCAGAAAACCACACCAGGTAAAGAAAAAAATTCTTATCCGGAGGTTGTGGGTTCGATTCCCACCGTTTTCATAAGAATTTTTTTTTCTTTACCTCGTGCGGTTCCCTGATTCCCTTTACTAGGGCTTACGCCCAGTGGGCTTTTCATGGGTTTCACTTAGCACTTTAATTTACTCGTCAGAGTTAAATCTCTGTTCCACCATTTGTGTTCATAGTGCTACGCGGCACAACGAACGATTATGATACATGCTGTTTATGCAGTCTCCAGCAGCTGATTTGTTCTCAAGTTAGTCTGACCATAGTGCTTGGTCAATGAAAGCCAAGGAAATGCGTTCCAAAAAAGGGGAATATCACAAAAACATTGAAAACTACATTTCAGTGTAAATATTCCAACACATTGCCTGTCCCATAAAAAAATCCATACTGGATCTTAACAGCCCCCTCCCCCCCATCCTATGGGGTCTTGTACATTCATTTGAAACTTCGGTCATTAAAAGCCCCCGCACCCCTTGGAATTTCTAATGGCCCTCCATAGGTAGGGTGTGAATAGTTTCTCCCTTATACAAAATATAGGTCTCAGTGTGATAATTGGTTTATATAATCAGGTCATTGAGTGACTTTCAATAGTGTATAGTAGGTAGAGCATGCTTTGTTTATTCACTAGTATGATTCAGCTGATTGGATAGATTGATTGGCCGTATTTATACTAGAGGACACATTATCCGTATGATGATGTGTGTTATGTGTCCTGTCTTTATACTAAAGACGCATCATCCATCTGGACAAACTTGGGCAAACATTTGGAGTTCGTCTGGTTATGCGTCTCTAGTATAAAGACGGGCACAAGACGCATTATACGTCTAGACGAACTATCTTGCGAAGTGCGTCGTTCAAGCTGCACTACGAAGGCTAATTCGTCCAGACGCGTATTGCGTCTTGTGCCTGTCTTTTTACTCGTATAAAAACGGCCATTGTAATACTGTTAGCACTGGTAAACTGACACGATTTTAAACAATAAGGCGAAGAAATATAAAAAAACATTTATTTTAATCTAAATGTGGAACCAAATTACGGTGTCAAAGAAATCATGTTATTATTCAACAAATTGTCACAATAACAAATGCATACTCAGGGAGTAAATCAATTGTTTTCCATCATCCATACATAACAGGAAATTATCCTGCTGACTGGTTACAAAGGTTCATCCAAAGCTTAATACTTTTTGCAGTAAGGTATATTTTGTTGACAACTTGTTGAATATTAATAAACAATGAATATTATAAATATTTTTCTGTTTTGTTATTGGACACCTATAATAGCTGCTAGCACTCCCATATGATAAAAAAGAAATCAGTCATTCAAAAACCATTCTCTCTTGAGAATTTCATTTAGTTGCTATAATAACACCAGCATTTGATATATGATAATGGCTATAACAGGAATAGAACATTATGCAAAATTAAACTATTTCATATAAATTATATGCAACCAAGTTATTTCACTGCTACATCAATCATATCAAACTTATAGTGTATATCAATAGTTGCTAAAACTTGCAGTGAAAACATCGCAAATAAAAGTCGATTAAGTGATATGTATTACCCAACTGACAGATTTGAGTTTCTGGAAGTTATTCCAATAGCAACTAACACTCTCAAAAATTGATTGGCAAAAGCCAAAGGAAACTTTGTGGCTGACACAGCCTTTTCTAAATTATGAAACTAACAAGAAGTTCCAATTTTTATGCAACTGAATCCTTATAAATCATTTAGATATAAGTTCTTCCCAAATAATATACTAGCTGGCACTAGAAATAGTAACATCTACTGAAAGGCAAAAATCCTTATCCACAATATCTATTCCAGAATCAACTTTCGCAAAATTATCATAACAAGGAAACCATAAAACAGTGAAAAAGGTTCTTTTTACACAAAATATTTTATATCAGCACATAATTAATGTACCGCTATCAGTGCTGTGACAAGATATCTGTGAATGGGATTATGTATTGTTGTTTCATTGACATACAAATATAGTGTGTTGGAACATGTTGATGCACTGGGTACTGATTTGGACTCATCATGTAAAAAGTGGCTGGAAGGAACAGAGTCAAAACTAGTGACAGGCACCTGTGCAGCTCCTGTTGCAAACATAAGCAAATGATGGGGAGTCAGTTTCGGAATGAACTTAACTTCTCCTTCTGTCAAATCAGGAGACTGTTCTTGCATGACCTCAAGAAGTGTCCATCTAAAAATATAAGTCAAACATGTAACCAGTGAGAACTGTGGAAACTTAATTACAGGAAGACCATCTGGTCATTTTAAAACAGTTTTCTTTTTTTTCTTTTGCTTGAAACTGTGCAACAGTATCTAAGAGTATCTAACACTATTCCTTGGTAATCACCACATGGCTCAGAAAATTCATGTTTTTGATGTTCAATACAGTCTCAATTACACCTTTAAATTAAATTACATTCATCAACCTCCTGATGTGATACTATGATGACACAATAATACCTTTAATAGAGACGTTCTGACAAGTGCATTAGGAATTTCTTCAATGGTCGGAGCGCACTTTTCCAAGCCCGATGTAATGTACTGACAAATTGAAGGGCTGAATATGTTCGGCGGTTCACCCCCTTGTAAGATAATAGTTGCCAGCATCAACCCAACAATGTAGTAATCATTCTCTCTCAATGCCTTTACATTGAAACGAATGACATGGCCTTTGGGCGTTCCTACAAAAAAGATTATTACGTTACATTTTATCACTAACATTGTCTCACATTGGTAATGCAAATTGCCTATTGTTAAAGCTCTTATTAATTTCCTCTCCCCCCACCTTCCCCCGCCCCCGACCCCAAAAAAGCTACCGGTAATGCCTATCACTCTTTTTAAGGTATAAAGATCTTTAACCTTTAAATTATAAAATTACTTTCATGGCACTATTTAGAAGATGGAATCAATCAAACATAAACAACGTTTCATGAATTGGATGAAAAAGATGGAAAACAAAAGTTGACTTCAAAGATACGGTACCTGTGACAGTTTTGCTATCTTTACAGATAGCACCCAGCAGTAGGTGTAGAAACTCACGCCTTGGGCCACACAAGTCAATCGCATCCTCCTCTTCCTCAAAATTTGCAAATGTGACGTGTATCAAGCCTTTGCCTCCAGCAAAATTTTTCCTTTTGAAGTATGGCAAAGCTGTTGCCCATATGGAGGCCCTGCTCACTATGTTTCGGTGTTCACCAGATATTTGGCTACTGGCGTGTGACTTCATTACCTCCGTAAACTGGTCACTGGAAATTTCTACTTCTTCTGGTTGGGCAACAATTAGTGGTTCCTTGTCCTCTCCATGTTGCTGCAGGCTAAGTTGTATAGCCTGTTCAATGGCTGTTTCTTCGGTGAATCCAGAAGGCCTAAAGATTTAAGTCATTGGAATGAGATAAAAAAATAATTAGCATTTAGTATAAAAGGAGAAATTTTACATCTGTTGTTCAGGGTTTTCCTTTATGGCAGGTGACTGCCAATTTTCGCCGCCTATGAACAACTGAGACACAGGCAATTGAGCGATAAAGAATCCTTGCTCTCAATAACTTTTAGTCTTAAAACAAATTAGATGGCCTAGATCGTTTCACCTTTGGCACCCCATTGGCAGTTAACATATCGACTAATCTCCGCCTGCTTTGCTCAAGTCGACTGCGGCTTCATTTGAAAAGGAAAACCCTGGTTGTTGCCATAGTAGCATGACCTGCTTGTTAAGAAGCTCACGACCAGTACCAAAAAAGGGGGAAAAATGTAAAATGGAAAAGATTTAAAATCCTGAGTTTAAAACTTGACATAAGAGATGACATGATATACTGTTTACAAAAATCAGCATTGGGACAAAGAGCTTATCCCAGTTCCCCAGGTCACGCAAAAGGTCACGCTTTGCCTGTGGAGTGCTACTCAATGACCGAGTTACATGTACATGCACTGCCCCTCCCCAGTCAAGCATTAATCTGATAGTATCTATCGGTGTTACTTGAATTCCAATTGTCTGCCTGCTATAGGCCAGGAAATCTGTCAATTTCATTTCATTTCAAAGTTCCATATATGTTTAGTGACTTCTTGACTTCTGCCTGCACTACTCCTACAATGTAAGCCCCCCCCACCCACCACCATTGTGACTTGACAATTTGCCAAGTACATTAAAAGTGAAAGTGGTGCCTTGCCTGAGAACAAAACGTAGTGACCCTGCCCAGGGCTTAAACTCAAACTATCATGAGTTCAGTTTGCTACAGAGAAGAGTTCTGTATACGTAATTTGAAAATTTTTATATTTATTCTATTTTTTATGACACCTCTGTACAATTAATGTTTGTGAGAGTTTGAACTAAAATTGATTTGAATTGAGTTTGGTAGCCATTAGGCCACTGTGGCTCTCATTGACTTCGTGAGTCTCATACATACTTATACACATACATACATAACTTTATTAATTTTGGTAAAGCAGGTCAAAAGAGAAAAAGCAACTTTACAGCTGACGTGGACCTACTATAATAATATTTACAATAAAGTAAACATTTAAAAATAAAATACCTTTGTTATGAAATGCACTATACCTATTAAATAATCATAGATTTTAATATTCGAGTCGTCTACAAATAATAAGTTTAGAGTTACTGGTAATATGCATTAAGAGTTACACTCCACATGCACGTTACTGATTTTAAACTTTCTTGAACATGTACACTATTAAACAGGTCCATGCAAAAGCATTCAAAAGCAACAACTTACAAAAAGTCCGTGGCCACAAACGATAGGTCTGCAGTGGAAATTATGTCTTCATTCTGTTTTGGAATCAAAGGCATTAATTCCGGGACTGCTGAATTATCCATTTCAGGTAAGCTTAAACTTGTTACTCAGGTAAGCTTAAACTATGTTATCAAAGTTAATATCATGTTCAAGCTCTGACCAATCGATAATTTCCACCTCTGATGCAGTGTCGTCACTTTCCCGTATGTCTTTCCTCTCAACTGGGCTCAGGTACAAGTTAATCCTGGAGTACGGTCTCCCCAGCCAATCTTTGTAATCGCTAAGAATGAACTCGTCCGAAGTTCCCGGCATCTTCTTCGCTATTGGTGAGTCTGGATATGCGAGGACATATCCTCTGTGCATAGTCTGTGAAAACTTGTGATCGAAGTCTTCCCTTTTTTTTCAACGCTGCTTCTAAAACCTCATCGTACCTGGGGTCAGTTTTTATTTTGAGTGAAAGCGAGCTGCCTCTAACAGGCTTTAAAATGTCTCCCTCCTCTTCGGTGACATATTCCATCAAAGCAATGTTGATGCTTGCTTCCTTTACGGTCATCGCCGATGAATGCTTGGAAGACTTTGGTTTAAAACGGCCTCGCCGTTCATCGGATTTCTTGGAGGCAAATTGCTCGTATGTTGGCAGCTTGGCCCTAAGTAAATCTGGCCTGGTTAATTGAGAACTGGAAGCACGTTTTTGGGAGTTGATAGCAGCGGTCTCCCGACCGAAGTTCTCCACACGTGAAATGCAATCTGGGTCATTATCACTTTTAAGGCTCCTGCCACAACTAGGACAAAATTAAAAGGAAATTTTCACTTGAGCGCCACAGCAAGAACAAAACATGCTTTCAGTTGTGGAATTAAAATATCCTCGAAGGCCGATCGATTTGCAAGGCAAATGACAAGAGCCAAATGTCCCAACCGAGCAACAGAAATGCGCGGGAAAATCATGTAACCAGGCATTGAGAAATACATTTGTGCACTGAGAAATACATTTGTGCACTGAGAATTACATTTGTGCACTGAATAAATGTATTTTGTGCACTGGAAAAAAATATTTGTGCATTGCATATATAGGCCATCGTATCATCTACATTAACTGATGTTTTATTTAAATGGCAAGAAATTTACACACATACCATTCATTTCTTCGAAATCTTCGCCATATAATTGTTGTTAGTCTTCTTCATCACAAGAAGCAATTTCTTGAAAGAAAGTTTACATATTCAGATTTTCAGATTACAGTGGAAACTTTCGTCAGTGGACACCCTCCAGACACAAAAAATGTGTCTATAACTGCAGTTGTAGTCACATCAGAAAATTAATTACAGTCAGCTGATAGACTGTTTTATAGAAAGAACAGTTGTAGATCGTATAACTGTTGGGATCTTAGTCTGTATTTGATCAGTAGTATTCATTGTACAAAAAGAATCTGTGATAATCGTATTATTGAAGTGTGCATAAATCATACTTTTTAATAGTATTATTCTACACTTTCCAAAGTGCAGCGATTTGGTTATATAAAACAAGAAAAATAACTTTGCATTATATATATTACATCGATTAACAACAACATTAACTGTCTTATTTAAATAGCAACAATTTGACATACATACCATCCATTTCGTCATCCAACCACATTTGTTCTTCTTCTTCTTGTTTGTCCATTTCATTACGTGGATTTTGTTGAGAGAGTTTACATATTCAGTTTACAGTGCAGAAAAATGGACATTCTCGAAACACAAGAAAGGGTCTTAAACTGGAGCTGTACTTACTGAAAGAAAATTTACATATTCAGATTACAGTGGAGAGTTTCGTCATAGATACCCTCCAGACAAAAAAAGTGTCTATAACTGAAGCTGTACTTACATTAGAAAATTAATTACAGTTAGTTGACAGACTGTTTTATAAATAGAACAGTTGCAGATCGTACAACTGTTAGGACCTAAGTTTGTATTTGGTCATCAGTATTCATTGTACAAAAAGAAAGTATTATATAATTATATTATTTAAGTGTGCAGAAATCAAAATTTTTAATACTGTAGTATTATTCTACAGATTTTAAAGTGCAGCAATTTGTTGATATAAAGCGAAAAAAATAACTTTGCGTTATATGTATTACGTCAATTAACTTTGATCTACATTAACTCATGTTTTATTTAAATGGCAAGAAATTTACATACATACCATTCATTTCCTCTAAATCTTCGCCATATAATTGTTGTTGGTCTTTTTGATCACCAGAAGCAATTTCTTGAAAGAAAGTTTACATTTTCAGATTACAGTGGAGAGTTTCGTCATAGATACCCTCCAGACAAAAAAAGTGTCTATAACTGAAGCTGTACTTACATTAGAAAATTAATTACAGTTAGTTGACAGACTGTTTTATAAATAGAACAGTTGCAGATCGTACAACTGTTAGGACCTAAGTTTGTATTTGGTCATCAGTATTCATTGTACAAAAAGAAAGTATTATATAATTATATTATTTAAGTGTGCAGAAATCAAAATTTTTAATACTGTAGTATTATTCTACAGATTTTAAAGTGCAGCAATTTGTTGATATAAAGCGAAAAAAATAACTTTGCGTTATATGTATTACGTCAATTAACTTTGATCTACATTAACTCATGTTTTATTTAAATGGCAAGAAATTTACATACATACCATTCATTTCCTCTAAATCTTCGCCATATAATTGTTGTTGGTCTTTTTGATCACCAGAAGCAATTTCTTGAAAGAAAGTTTACATTTTCAGATTACAGTGGAGAGTTTCGTCATAGACACCCTCCAGACAAAAAAAGTGTCTATAACTGAAGCTGTACTTACATTAGAAAATTAATTACAGTTAGTTGACAGACTGTTTTATAAATAGAACAGTTGCAGATCGTACAACTGTTAGGACCTAAGTTTGTATTTGGTCGTCAGTATTCATTGTACAAAAAGAATCTGTGACAATTGTATTACTCAAGTGTGCAGAAAGCAAACTTTTTAATAGTATTATTGTACAGATTTTAAATTGCAGCAATTTGTTTATACAAAACAAGAAAAATAATTTTGCTAATATGTATTACATGTATTAACTGTAGTCTACATTAATAAGTGTTCATTTAAATCACAACAAATCGACATACATACCATCCATTGGTCCTTCTTTGATGTTACAAAAAGAAACTGTGTGATCTATTGTGAAAAAATATTTTGTGATATATATTATTATTTTAATAGTTATTATTGTTTTGAAATAGTAATAATGATTAGCTTATCAATCAGATAAATTTTTTTTTTACATGTGTAACTGCTGTAGTGTCTAAAAAAATGATAAGATAATAAGTTTAGCGTCTGTAAAGCCCTGTGCAAACGGACGCAACATCGTTGGCTAACAACTCCCAGCTTTGTTGGATGTTACATGTTGCGTCCATTTGTACACCCTGTTGCATGTTGTTGGATGTTGTTGCGTGTTGTTGCGCAAAGTTTGAAACAGCTATAAACTTACCATATTTTGTTTTTAGGTCGAAAATATTTGTTTCCTTCCAATCTATTAAGAAAGATAATTTTCTTTTTACATGTAATTACATCAAATGTAACATTAATATGTTACATAATTGATGTGAAATGTTATAATTTTTCTGAAGAGTTTTTCGATAAAAATAAATATAACTAGGTACAGATTGTAGCAAAATGTACTGTTCTAATCTATGACCATCTTGACAGTTTAATCGCAGAGAGAGATGGAAGTATGGTGGGTCAAATTTTCATGTTTTTTCGCTCAAGGAAAGATTTAGAAAATCTGTAATAATGACTGAATTGTCATCATTATTTATTTTTTTTAAAGAAATATTAAATTTCAACTACAGTTGTGTACTGTTGAAGAAAAGCTTCAACAATCAATATGATTTTATTGTAAATATTATTCACCACAACGGTTTTAAACACGAATTGGTATATTTAATTGATTAGAAGAGGGAGACTTTTAACAAAAGTCACATTGAACTCTTGAAGAAAAGTCATTTGCACAGGATTGCTATATAGAACGTGTTTTTCATATGTGACCTATTCTCTACAATAGAATTCGTTGAAATTTCAATTTGAGAAGAGAAAATCCAAGAATAAACAAAAAAATTTGCAATACTTTCTAAATTGCTGTCATTATTTTTTTACTTTAAGAAATACTAAATCTCAAGTATACGGGTGACCGCAATAGTGGACTGTCGAAGAAAATCTTCAACAATGAATATGACTTTGTGGTAAATATTATTCATTATAGTTGTTTTAAACAGGAATTGTAATTAATCTCTTGAAGGAAAATGATTTGCACAGGATTGTTATATGAAACCTGTTTTTCATAGGCGATCAATACTGTATATTGTAGTTTGTTGAAATTTAAATTTAAGAAAGAAAGTCAGATAAGAAATGATATGTTGTAAATTTTATTTTTTAATACCAATTTCAATAAACTTCCACATATATTTTTCATCTTTTGTTTTTTTTCCAAAATAAGACCTCTTTAAATATTTTCGTGTATTGAAAGCCAATTTTTGAGTTGTTGACTTTGAGTTATATTTCTGAGAATAACGACCTTTATTTGAGTTGCAATTATATTATATTAAAACAATAAAGGCTGTAATAATTTTTATGTTGAAAAAATTAATCACACCATAACTTACTTCCATCATCAGCTTCTCCAGATTGTTCTATAAGAAATAGGTATTGTTGAATTACTTTAAAGTTAGCCATTGTTTAGACGCAGGACTTTTCATTTACCGAACGTAACTGAATAAGTTGGGGTTTGTCGCGACACTGACGTGAAATCTGATTTAAATGGTATGAACTTCTATCAAGTGTAAGTTATAACGTTCGACAGAGTTTGTCAAACTTAACGCTTTTTCTGGAGAAAGTAAAACTGTCGAACCAAATTTATTTATTCAGGCTTTTTTTGTCATACTTAATTTGTCAGTTAGATTCGGTATATGAGTAAAGCGGCGTTTGAACAGGATCTTAATGGTATAAATTTAATCCTGGTAAAAATGAACAATTGCTTTCACAAAAATCTATCGGCCATCTGTCAGCAAATTGACAGACAAACGACAAACAGTCAACTAAAGGTACGAAAAAACAAGCTACAAAAAACGTAGAACTTGAAAGAATGAAAGGTGAGTCCTCAACAGGATTTGAACCTATCACTTGCTAATTACCGGGCGGGCGCTCTATTCAGTGAGCTACGGAGAACTCATGGAGAGCGAGGCCATATACTAGATTAATATTAATGGACATTTTACTCGTAAAATAGAGTTAACTAATTAGAGCGTACTTCAGCCATTGTTTCATTATGATTTACTTTGCCCTGGGTGGCAAATATGTTGCTATCGCACATAAAGAACATTGCGTGACTCAGCTCTGGTTCAAGAGCTCCTTGTTTATCTTAGATTACATCAATAACTGACCTTCAGTTGTTTCTACAAACTTCGGTGATAACAAGTTATCATTGTTAGTAGCTGTAATCAATACTATGTTATACTTATATCCATCAATGCTAGCTGTGTGCTCCTTTGTTTTCATTCACTTTGCGTGCACGCGTTGTATTTTCCAATAGTAGTTTACTACACATTAGTTTCTGATTTTTCCCTGCCACACCCGCCCTCAATTCAATAAAGGTGGACTACTGGCTTGGGTGCAAAGCTGCTACTTTTACCTCCGCGTAGCAGGCCG